AGAGGTATACATCTCCAAAAAGCAGTGCGAGGATGCATTTATTCAAGAAAAAACTGAATACATGCACAGCATGCACATGAGGAAACTTCTATAACCAGCTACTCCTGTAACTGTGCAAGACAAACCCTGTGCTTGGGAATATTTTTAGCAGCAAATAGTTTGTGTTCTGACCTGCTGGTTTCAATTCATGCTTGTTTGTCTGACTTTGGCGAAAAAGCCAGATTAGGTTTCTTCATTGTTATAATTTTAAATACCCCCAAATTTTACTATTTAGGGGAAAATGGCCTCAACACTCTTATATCTCAAGTGTCCAGGCCCTGCTTACGCAACAGCAACAAACTGATCTCAGCATTTATAAGAAAGCAGCAAGTACTTCATCAACAGTTAGCATTGATATTACAGTCTAGCACGCACACAGCATTAGAAGTATTGTATCTATCTGCGAGTATTTACCTGTGTCCTCATCTGGATCCCAATGTAAAGAATCTGTGTCCTCTGAGGAGGCATGGCTCCTCCAGCTTATATTTCCCATCCAACAGGCCTGTGTCCACACAGCGACAAGTCCAGGGGTGATACAAACGATTACACCTGTTGTTCACTAAAGACTTGTTGGTCAGACTGGCATTTTTACAGCTATCACACAATAGCACTGCTGAGAGTTAGTCACAAACTCACTGGTCCTCATGATCATCCTCACTTGACTCAGCCACGTTACACAGCACCTCAGAGGAAAGATCCACAAATAACACTGATAGAAGGCGAGAGGAATTAAAAAGCGGCACAATTTCCCCAAATCAATTGTTTATTAAGTAGCTCTTCTTGTGAATGTGGCTAAAATCACAATCCTGGAGCAAATGTCTGAGAGAGGATCCAAGCCACAGTTATCAGGAGTGAGGATGTGAGTCCGTTACAAGGAACCGAAATAGTCCAACTTCAGGAATAAATGACCTGCACTCTGGCATGTAGGCCAACACACAGCAGTGAAAACAACTGAAGCATCATCTCATTAGATGAACTCCTCTGAGGAAAAAAGTCTCAAATCCACAGATGGAAGTGCAAAGATGAATATGAGCTGTAAATAGAAGCTGTATTGAATTACAGGAGATCTCGGAAACCAGTCTTAATTGCCGTCTTTAGCTCCTTGAAAGATCTTGTTGAAGATGCTAAAGTTGGAACGGCCTTGAAAATATTTCATGCTACAAAGACCGTATTGCCTTCATAGCCTTTCAGTGTGCATTAATGTCTTCGGTCCAGCAATTACCCCACATGTAATCCATCCATTCCTCTCCCTAATTCTCTCTCTTTGCAGATTCGATTCCCATCAACACTCTACCATTCTCCACCCTCTTTCTATGCTCTATTCTCTCCCTCTTTTTACTTTCCCATACACAGCACACACACACAAACTAACTACAACCCAGCTAAACCTATACAGGAACAGCAAGACTCCCATTCTGTGGGAGAGGGAGGCTTAAATGCCTGCCGCCTGCCATCAAACCTCAAAATTGCAACATGTCAAACCAAGACCCATAGCTTGCCCTGTGTAACAGTGGGATCACTCATCAGCAATGTGCGTAGACCTAATCGTCCAGGGAAGCCTTTTGTAATCATGACTACTTTAGCTGTTGCTCGGAGTTTTGGTGACTAAGGCATGTGGGGTGTGCTATTTCTGCACATCTGATGAGAAGTTATTTCAGCCTGAAGCGACACAGTAACCACTTGACAAACACAAAACCATCAAAATGACTTACGCTTTAGAGTTAACTCTAGGAATGCTTGAGAGTAAACTCTGGGCATTACAGCTAAACCCTTTCAAAGGCAAACACACAGATACACACTCCCAAACTATGCGGGGGGCGGGGGGGGTAAGGAGTCTAAAATAAGGAACTGATGGATTAGTTCCACTGTGGCTGGTTACTACCATTGACTGTCCAGTATGAGAGGATTCTGCAAGCTAATTATAAACACTGTGCTCCTCCCACAACTTTATCAACTCTGACATGCCAAAACTCTTCTGTCACAATCTATAGTCTGCAGGAAAAATATAAAATAAGGAGATAATGCCTCAGTCAAGGCTAGTTTCTTTTAGTTCTGGAGAAGTGTTTATACTGTTTCCTGGAGTAATGCTTGTCAGAGAAAAATACAAAAATAGAAATTGAGCTTCTTAATTTCAGAATAAAACAAATTCCACAGTCTATAAAATGAACACAGTCCACATATTCTGGCAACAAGGAGTGGCTATAATTGCTTTAAGCTGTAGTCAAGAAATTTAATTTAAGAACTTTTGTGTGAATTAAGACTTCATACAAAGGATAACACTCTTGCCCCATCAAAATAAACAAATCACTCCAAATGTACATCTGTTTTTCTGTGTTTTCCTGAAAAGTGAATGTAGGATTTATTCTGCAAAGTAAAGCTACATTACTTAATTTCCATGTCACTTTTTCCAAAGGGCTGACCAAGTCACAGTTTAAAGGGTGTCTACTGAGGTAATTTCATATACAGTGTAAACACACCCAAAGCCTTTTTAGATCACTTATCAGATGGTTTTGCATAGATGACAAAAATGACATGGACATAACACAACACAGTAGACCATCATTTAAGAGACATTATGCATAGGTGTAAAAGGCTGGTTTGATTAAAACATCCTTTACATTTTTCAGTCCAATTACAATGATAAGCCTCTTCTTTTGAGCCCATTTGATTACATCCAACACAGTACACTAAACATGGACTGACAAAACACACACTCCCATATTTTCACTCTTT